TATATTATATATATATATATATTCTGTTATATTTTATTATATATATATATTATATCTTATATATATATATATACAGTTAAGACATGCTCAATGCTGCCCAGAGGGACCGGCAGGATGCCAGGCCTGGGCTGCACAGAGGATGACAAGATCGACGCGCTCTTCAGAAATAACGCGAGCGAAGGTTCTACTAGTAGTATACTAAGGGATGCAAGGAAAAAGAAAAAATATAGCTAAACGACCTCAACACGCTATTCTACTTATATATTGTGCTTATATGAAGAGCTCTCAGCTGAGGTGCTGCTGCCTTTGTAGCTCTGCCACGCAAAACTCGAGGGACACCGCACCCAGCTGCCTGTCTGGCGTCAGAAGATACAGCACCGAGAGAACGGCCGAGTCCTCGGAAGTGCTGCAGAGCCGAGGGCAGGGGCTGAAACGGGAGGGGGTTCTCAGCCAAACCCGGAGAGGGCTGCGATCGGAACTAAGCCCGAGCTGCATGATGGGCGTGAGCCAGGCCGAGCCGGATCTCGTCTGTGCCGCTTTGAAAGCCCTGCAAACTCTTGCGAAGCTGTGGTGCCCAGGAGAGCAGCCAGGGGAAAGAGATGGCAGCACAGCAGAATGCCACAGCAAGCCCGCCGTGACCGGCCAGGGCCGTGGCAAAACTCTGCCTGGCAACCTGAGAGACTTCAATGCGCCGTGGCTTCCGACATGCCAACGAAAAGCCGAAGCAACACAGAGTTGACAAAATAGATGGGGGTGGCTTGACGAGAAAGCATAACCAACAGCAAGAGAGAAAGACAACATCGCGGTGCAAAGGAAAACGCGAAATCCAGCTGAGTGATGGTTCAACCATTGCTGCAACCTAACCTTTCCGACAAAACAACCCACATTGGTCCTTCTTCAAGCTCAAGGCACCGGAAACTCAAAGCTCGGGGAGACTGCCATGTGCATAGGCCAGATCGATTGGTGCTGAACTGCCGATGCCGCAGCTTTGTCCTTGCAGGTGCATGCCACATCATGGGCGTGTGCACACAGACGTAAGTGTCTCTACAAAAACCATGCCCGCTGTTCTGGAGCGCGAAAGAGGAGAATGATTCGCTGAAGGAGGAGTGCACCGAGTTTCGGCTGGTTGAACTTGTCGCCAGCTGCGAGGGCGCAAGACCAAGGGGAGGATCCCCCATGTGAACTGGCGAGGGTCTTGAAGATACCTCAGGAAAACTCCGCAGAAACCGGAACATGTTGGAGCTGGTGGAGGCTGAAGTCAAGGAACGCTGAAAGAGTGACCCCCTGCCCTTGATGGCAAGGCCCGCGTGGCTCAGCCCGATCATCTAGCTTTCTCGGATCTCCTTCTTCTTGGGGCTTTCCTGACACCGCCAGCAAGAGCTCTGCCAAGGCTTCAGCTCCGTCGCGCCGGTGGAAGACCCGTGCCGGGGCAGTCTCTCTGATCCAGGACCCAACCTCGGCATGCACTGAGTGGGGCTATGGGCTGTGGGTACCTTTATTCAGGGGTACTCAAGAAAGGATGCGGCTGCATAAGTTGCCACACCAAGAGGCTCGCTTAGAGTAGTCAGGATTCGACGCCAGGAGAACCGCCTTCTTGACGTAGTCAGAGACGGTCAGCGCCAGACAGCAACTCCCCACATCTGGAAGGCTCTTCTCGAAGAGGATTCGGAGGAATCCTGCAGCAAAACCTCCCGCAAGATGCTGTCCCTTCAGGGTCACTAATGGACGGCCAGCACTCAAGGCATCAAGTGTGGTGGTGTGACCTCCGTGAGGGAAAGTGTCAAGAACCACACTAGCATGCTTCAGCATCCAGAAGTAGGTGCTGGCGTTCTGCATCGGGACGAAGCACACACGAGCCAGCTGGGACGGCTCCAGCTGAAGGGCAAGCCTGGCGGCAATGCGCCCGTGGATCTGCGGTTGTGGGTGCCCCACCCGGATCGCTAAAACAGCCTCTGGGTCCGGGTCTGCCTTGAGAATTCCTACCAGCGCCTCATCAAAGGCCGGCACAAGCTTGTACAGCGTCTGTGCCACCAGGTACACACGATCGGAAGCTTTCGTCAAGGCACAGGTTCCAGTGCCAGAGCTCTCCAGCAGTGAGGCCCAGCGAAGGGTAGACGTAGCCTTTTCCGCCTCTCCGGGATCTGTGCTCGGCACGAAGAAAGGGAGGCCTTTCAGCAGGACGAGCTGCTCGCTGTACTGGCTCTGGGCATGAAACCATTCACTTGGCTCGAAAGCCTCGAAGCTCAGAAAAGCATCGATGGTCGGAATTCCCGTGGTGGATGCATGGCCATAGGTAACCATCTGCAATGGTGCCAAACGGCTGTGAGCCAGAGTGAAGCTTCGCACGTCCAGACCAACTTCCAAGAACACCAGACAGTCGAGCCTCAACTTCAAGATCGCAGTCCTGGTGCGGCCCAGCTCCTTCGGCGTGCCAGGCGACGTAGAGCTCCAGTAGGATGCTTCTTCCACATGATCTGCACGCTCCCGGAGCGCTTCCACGACCGCCGAGCTGGGGGACTTACGCTGTAAACTTCCGAGGCACAAGAGAGCAACCCAGACAGATTTTGGCAAAGGCCAAATGACCCCTCTGGCCAAGTTGCCCACGGCACTATCGCCAAAAAGCCCAGAAACAAATCCAACTCGAACTTCTGGAGACTTGCGAAGGCCTCTTGGAGCCTGCAAGGCTGCGGCGTCGAAGCCCAGATTTCGAAGTGATCGGAGATGAAGTCGTGAGAATGCAGATGCGATCTCAGGCAAATGTGGGACGAGCGTCGGCCCGAGATAAGTTAAACGAGTCATCTCGACGGAACGGGTGTCAAAGGCTGCTGGTATGCCACAGCCTCTTCCTCTCAGCGGCGCCCCCTCTTCTACGATCAGCGCACTGAGCCCTATGGTGAAGTTTTCTATCGCCTTTATGGCTTCTTTCTCAGAGCCATGGGTTGCAGGAAGCCATGACAGCCGCGCTTTGATCCAAGCTCCCTGATGCTCCTCTGCCTTCCACAACATTGCGGGAGCAGTTGGCCACGTCTCGATCGCATTTTCGAACCATGTTGCAGCACCTGCCAAATCGTCAAGCAACTCGTGCACGTGGCCCACCATCATCGCGGCCCAGGGATCTTTGCTTGCGAGAAGCTGGGTACCTTGTCTGTCTCTTATCATCAGTAGGGCTTTGTCAGCTTGCTTGTACTGCAGAAGCAGAAATGCTCCCAAAAGTCCAGCACGTGCAGCCCAGCGCTGAAGACCCAAACCGGCGTCTTTGGGAATTCGCGCAGCCTCCTGGTACTTTTCAAGGGCTGCCTGCAACTGGCCTTCCTCCTCGAATGACATCCCTGCTGCCAACAACCCTGCCACTCGTGCCCCTGATGCCGAGAATTGCGGCTGAAATGGCAGGAAGGACATTGGAAATGCCTCCGCCTGGCTGCATGTTTCGACACAGCACGTGGTGTTCGCGGCGCTAGCTTGAGCAGCAAGCCTGGGGTACAAGACGATTATCGCCCCACGGGATCGCATGCAGCTGTGCAGGGCCACGTGTTCACAGTCGTCAAGACCCTCATCATATCGGCAGCTGCCGAACTTGTGCAACAGGTCCTCGTGGTAAAGTGCCATACCACCAAAGCAGCTGTCCACTGGAATGAGCGAGCGTGCTGTAGCAGATGCAGCACAGGAGCTGCATGTGTTTTCCTGATCTTGCAACTCCATTCCGCAGTCGCAATGTTCTCCCCACTGTCTCTGCAGACCACAAAGAGCATGGGGAAAGAAGCTCTTTCCAGCTTGCTCTTCAAAATCTACGGGAGATAAGCCTTGCAAACCCTCACCTCGCAATGCGAATGCATCATAGAGGCTGTTGGAGCGATACCAAGTATGCGCACAAAGGGCATGCCATCGGGCCTCGTGGCCAAGAGCTTCCAGCAGAACCGAAGCAGACCACTCCATTCCAACATCCGCATCGACCATCAAAATCCAATGCTCGTTGGCCGTGCCCCGGGTCTCTCTCCGGAATTCCTTCAGATACTTGTTCCTAAGCCTGGCTAGGAGGCGCACTCCATCGTGACCCCATCCTTTGGATTTGAGCTCACCTCGGCTTTTGTATGGACCTATGTGTTGATCCTGTGAGAGCGTCAGGCGGATTGCTCTCATGCTGGTCTTTCCTGCCGCAGTTTTGGACCAGTGATCCAGATACTTCCCAGTACCATCTGTAGAATCGTTTTCAACAAAAATAACTCGTACTCGTCGGAAATGATCGGCCAGGGTTTCGATCCTCTGGCGGAGCTGAGGCAGATGCAAAACTGCGTTGCGCACGAGGCCTCCCACCAGAAGCGTGGCATTGGCGGCCCTTGACTGCCCACGCCGCAGGCGTTGGAGCACAACATCTTGAGTCTCCGCGACAGCAACGCACAGTGCTCGAAGAAGCAAGCAAAACCAAACTATCCACAACATCAGAAGCCAGGAGGTCAGGCCTGGCAAATGCCTGTCCTTGCACACAGCATTCTCCGCTTATGACATTCCATCGTGCATGGCAGGGCATGCCGGAGAGTGAACTCGCCGCGACGCATCCGGGTAGCGAACCTGCAGGAAGCAGGGCCGTCCCGCCAAAGCTGAAGGAAAGTTCCAAAGATACCTCCCCACCGCGTCATGTCCTTCGCTCGGCTGGCAGATGCTTTGAGCAAACTGCCTGGCAGCCTGCCATGGCCAAGCTTACTTCAGCGGAGTGACACGGACAGCTGTCACTCGTTGTCGCAACTGCCTATGACCTTAAACCATACGGCATGCGCGGCGAGGGTCTGCTGTTGCAGAGTGACGTCTGCCTCGTGTCTGGACTTCCCTTGCCCTCTTTCCGTCCAATGCGCGGTCGCTTGTTCCGTGTCTGGCTTCGCGCATTGCCCTGGCAGCTGCTGCAGCCCTGCGCACCTCTCGGCTCAAAAGAAAAGCAGCAGTGAAGCCAAACATGCGAAGTCAGCTTCCTGACTGCCAGGTGCCAGGCCGTCTCAGATCGCGAGGGCGCGGCCAGTACAAACAGCGTCATGGGCCTGGGGTTCAGATTTGGTAACGCACCGACACTGACACGCTGTCTATGCGCTCTCCGACAGCACAGCTTCCTAACCCAAAAGCTATGTGCCGCATGCTGCGGAAAACGGTGAGTCCATTCTTTGTTTCTTGTTGAAAAAACAATTTTAAGAAAGGGCGTGGGCCCTCTGTTAGTGTCCTGCATCTCTGCTTTGGAGCCTTTTGCTGAGGATCCTGCATCTCATCTTGCGAGAAGAGCTGTCGACGGCGGAGGAGCACCTCCAGCCTGCGTGAGAACTCCAAGCAGACGCCACAGAATCCAGCACAGCTTGCAATGACTAGTACTAGCTAGATAATAAAGTAATACCCAAGCAAGAAACATTCAAGAGCAACAGCAGATGGAATAAAAAGAAGAGTCAACAATAAAAGTTCCGGTTTCTGGCCGCATTTTCACGATATTGTTGGTTACGTTACGATGCTAAAGCTTTCACGTACCTTCTGCGGGCTCAGGCCCACACCCGCTTTCCCTGAAGAGCTTGAGGTAATGTTGCGGGGTCCGCCTGCGAAGGCATAACCACGCGATGGGGGGCGTTCCTGTTTCCAGGGCTTGCTAATAGAGGGGCCTTAATAATTAGACTAGGGTTTTGAGGTATATAATACTATAGTTATAAATTATAATGAAGAACCCCCAAAATAGTATTGGCAATTATTTAGGCCCCGTTGCAGTTGGCAAAAACCTGCGGGGGGTGGAACTGAGTCTCAGGAGTGGACAAGACGGACATGGGTCCACTACGTTGGGAGCCACCGTTTGCGCCGCCTCTCGGACAAAATAGGACAAACCTCGGGCAAGAAGCCGGAAAAATCTGAGTCTTCCACGCCAGAGCTCACCCGTCTCATCGTCGAAATAAGATCCAACACCTTGATCTGGCCCGAGGCACGAATACGTTTGCAGAAAACCCACCCGGTACTGCGCCGACTCCAAACTTGCACTACAAGGACAAAAACAGTATCAAATAATGTGATATGATATATTATGTTATAATAGAGTACAGTATGCGTCTCCTTACCGTGGAATGCGACCATGCCTCGTACCCAGCAGGGCTATTGGACAACATGTCCGGTCTCGAAGAAAGGATCAGGGCGAAGCGTATCAGCTCACAAGTCTGCAAAGTCTGGGAGACCAGCGGGTTTGGGCGACATTCTCCTGAGACGAGAGGCTTAATCTTCGGGCAAGCCAGCAGCAGCATGTGTTTCACACGGATCTTATGCACAGCGGGCACCTTCACTACGACGGTCCCGGCTGGCCTGCATGTGACAGCTGGTTGGAGGAAAGATGTATAGACTTAGATTGAAGCAGACGTGCTTTAGCTGCATCCAGGACGCGCAAGGAGCTCCACGGAGACACGTCGGAGGAACTTCACTACCTCGACATCCGCACAGCAGCACCCGATCGAGGATTTAGCATACCTTCAGAAAAGCTCGCACTGGGTCGCAGGCATCTGCATCTGTGATGTACATGAAGATCCACCTCGTGAGACAGGCCGACAAGCCACGAGCAGCCAGGACACGCTTTCCATGCGGGTGACAGCTTAAAGCCAGAAATCAGGAGCCCAGCTGGCACCACACCAGATCGTACAGCCTCAACAAAGGTTCTGGGCACTGAGCGCAGCGACTACAAAGCCTGGGTCGCCCAGAGGACTAAGGTTCGTGCGACTGCTGAGGCTGCTGAAAATCTTGAAGCGTGCCGCAGATGAAGTGTCCCGGCCTGATAGGAGTGCAACTGCGTAACGGTACTCGGCTTGGGTTCGTCGAACTCTCTCGGGCTCGCCAAAAAAACATCTGTGTGCAGCTCCAAGTTGTGTCGTCGAGCTCCTTTCTGGCAACTTGGAGATGCTTCTCGATGGGCTCCAGCCTCGCCACTCAGATGAGACCAGACCACCGCTTGTTCTGAAGAGCGCGGAAATACAAACTCTGTGCACGGCAGGTCGACGCGATCGCAGTGCGTGCGGAAGACGCCTTTGGCCAGCCGACCTCGGCACCCGTCCTTTCCCCTCAGAGATGCTCGGTCCACCGAGCAGGGTACCGATGCCAGCGCCCACGTCCAAAGCACGCTGAAAGCGACCTGGCTGCACTTTGGACTCCACCCTCTTGTCTTCAGCCGGGAAAAAAGTCTCCGACCCTTGGAGTTTCCACGAATGCGTGCCAGCTTCCTAGCAAAGAGACAGGACGGCCGCTGCGCACCGGGACAGCCATTGCCGCCACAGTCTCCTCATGAACTGCTGGTTGAAGACCAGATCCTGGTCGGAAACGCCACCTGCAGAAATGCAGCAGGCAAAATCAACAACACAACCCACTCTGGGGCACAGCCTCCCGTCATGCCGTCCACCGTCGCGGCTTCCTCGCTAGAGCGAAAGCAACCCACCACAGAAGAAGCTTCAGTAAGCTTATAGCACTATGTGGCAAGGACCTTTAGGGTTT